CTCTGACCAGGACGGTGGCCGGAGTTTCGAAGAGAGAGAGGAGGGAGCTGCTGTCGGGGAGAGAGAGAGACTCGCCGGGGAGAGAGAGAGTGACGGGGGCAATTCCGTCTTTTAACCAAAAATCCATTTTCCAAATATTTACGATTATGCCACTGAGCTTCTTCTGATCATATCTCTCTCGTTACAACTCCGATTCGAGCCCACTACGTGTCTACGAACTCATCTCACCGTGCTCTACGCAACGATACAACCGGAATTCCCAAATTCCTTCCGGGTAAGAAAATGACCAAAATACCCTTATCCCACGGGTAATTTCTCAATTCCACTTAAATTAATTAATCATGGGATAAATTTGGGGTCGGGGTGTTACAGCAACAATAGTTAGATTTTGATCTGTTATACCAAAGAATATAATAGTTAGATTTTGATGTGTTATAATTCTGAAAACTAGTTTGTACTATATAGGGATACACCTCATCATTTAATGTTTTCATTAAAAACAAAATAGGAAAACAGAAATAGAAAACTAGTATCTGTGTGGATCAAACTTCTAACACAGTGTTGTAGTGAGTTGGAGTCAAGTACAAAATTTGAAGGTTATATGGGCTTCACATAGCACACCTTAATGATAGAAAACCATTCTTCCTTCTTTCAATCAGTCCTACTGGAACTAATGTACTTGGATATCTGATGTCAAGTCTTAATTCTTCATTTTTAAGGCCATAAGAGAAAGAAAAAAACGGAACTTTGACAGATATTTGGAAGTCTTACCAGGTTGTCTTTTCCGTTTAATGCCCCAACAGAGAGCTGCTACAGATAATAAGAGGATGGAGATTCCAGTGACTGCTGCAACTACGGGCAGAACAAAATTGTGCTTCTTTTTGCAAGAAACATTTCCGGATAGATTTGGATTTGCACAACAATAGTTAGATTTTGATCTGTTATACCAAAGAATATAAATTCCTCTGTAGCATATGTTATAATTCTGAAAACTAGTTTGTACTATGTAGGGATACACCTCATCATTTAATGTTTTCATTAAAAACAAAATAGGAAAACAGAAATAGAAAACTAGTATCTGTGTGGATCAAACTTCTAACACAGTGTTGTAGTGAGTTGGAGTCAAGTACAAAATTTGAAGGTTATATGGGCTTCACATAGCACACCTTAATGATAGAAAACCATTCTTCCTTCTTTCAATCAGTCCTACTGGAACTGAGCCTGTGAGCTTGTTTTTCTCCAAGTTTCTGCAAAGGTAAATTAATCACTAATCTTTCACCATACTTTCATAACAAAAGATTTGTAGTTTTTTCCTCCCCAGATAGAGGTAACCAAATGACTTACATGACATTTAAGTCTGGCAATTGAGACAAAAAGTCAGGAATTGGTCCTGTCAAGTTGTTGTTTGATAAATCCCTGAAATGAACAGCTCAAATTTAAATCAAATTCTGATCATGTGCTGTCTGCCTTCTGGTAACTTATTCACAGGAAGACATATATACTCACAATGTCTGAATCACTGTAAGGTTGGATATAGAAGGAGCTATCTCCGCTGTTAATCCGCTCGAGGACAAGTCCCTACAGATTGCATGTTCCATAAATTTAAATTTACTACATAAGTGGAATGGGAATGAAAATTTCGGCGGTAACTTTGTTTGAAGGCGTACTTACAAGGATATGATTCTTGGGGACTCATTTTGAGGATAGCTACACTTTACACCTTCCAACAAGTAAGCTTGAGGGGCACATGGATCTCCTTGCCAGTTCTTTTTAATCTTATATGTTGACTTGATGATGTTGATTGCGTCAACTAATTAAAACATTTTCAGAATCAGCCAGAAAATCTCATATAAATCAATCATATACATATAAACACTAAACTGAGAGTACGAAAGCTAGTGTAAGGAAGAAAGACTTACTATCTTCTTGGTTTGTTTCTAACTCTAAGAATTCCTTCAATGTGTAAATCTCAATGGCGTTGAGGATGGGTGGAAGGGTAGAGTTCTCTGCCTTACGGATTGAAAAATTATATTGTCCTCCACTCAAAGCGGCAGGGCTAAAAATAGTACTTGTGTACAAGTAATCGGGAGCAAATAACTCATAGAAGACCTGCCCATTCCTAGTAATGTATTGCAGTCTGGATTGGTTTGCTCGTAGCTTTTCAACTTCTGCAAAGTGCATGTATACATAGTATGATGCCTTGTCATCAGCAGGCAGCCAGAAGAAATCCAAGGAAGCATTAGCACTTCTTGGCGTTGCAGCAGTACGCATCACAATAGGAGGTGGTTGGTAATCATTGCTAGATCCAGAGTCAGTGGTTTGTGATGTACTTAATTGTGTCCAATCATCACGGTCATAGGTATACCAGAAGCGATCAGGAACATCGAACGGATACCTAAATAGATTTCGATATTTCATCAGTCTCATTAGCAATTAGAAGTTGACCAGGTATATGTTCATCATCTAACTCCTAGGAGATTAGGCACTCACCTGTATCCTTCAAAATCAGTTGGTACTTGACCAGTATCAAATCGCATCTCAAGCGCCAACGACCCCACTTGTGTTGGATAAGATGCATTAAGTAAAGGCCTGAGTTCTATTGCTGATATAAATGGAACGCCGGAGCCTGTGTTCACCAGACAGACATGTATGTAGCTTCGCAGTGGGACATGTATAAGCTCTTTGTCTGCTGCTCCTACGGAGGCATTCTCAAACCGTATTGACTCCCATAAGTTAGCTCCAAGGTGGAGTTCAAACTCAGGTGCTTTTTCTTGGCCATCATAATTCCCATAAACAAAACTTGCTCTGATCAAATATTTGATGCCACTTGTGACGTTTATGTTGTAGCAGTTCCTGGTTCCCTCAGGATTGTCAAATGATGACAGGGTGTCGAAGGCAATGACGGGGTACCGAAGGCATCGCTCTTGTCGGATGATGACAGGGTGCCGAAGGCATCTCTCTTGTCAAATGATGACAGGGTGTCGAAGGCAATGACGGGGTACCGAAGGCATCGCTCTTGTCGGATGATGACAGGGGGCCGAAGGCATCGCTCTCGTCGGATGATGACAGGGTGCCGAAGGCAATGACGGGGTACCGAAGGCATCGCTCTTGTCGGATGATGACAGGGGGCCGAAGGCATCGCTCTTTGTCCAACAATGACAGGGTGCCGAAGACATTGCTTGTCAGATGATGACGGGAAGCCGAAGGCATCGCTTTTGTCGGATGATGACAGGGGGCCGAAGGCATCTCTATTGTCAAATGATGACAGGGGGCCGAAGGCATCTCTATTGTCAAATGATGACAGGGTGTCGAAGGCAATGACGGGGTACCGAAGGCATCGCTCTTGTCGGATGATGACAGGGTGCCGAAGGCAATGACGGGGTACCGAAGGCATCGCTCTTGTCGGATGATGACAGGGTGCCGAAGGCAATGACGGGGTACCGAAGGCATCGCTCTTGTCGGATGATGACAGGGGGCCGAAGGCATCTCTATTGTCAAATGATGACAGGGTGCCGAAGGCATCTCTCTTGTCAAATGATGACAGGGTGCCGAAGGCATCGCTCTTTGTCCAACAATGACAGGGTGCCGAAGACATTGCTTGTCAGATGATGACGGGATGCCTCTTGTCGGATGATGACAGGGTGCCGAAGGCATCTCTCTTGTCAAATGATGACAGGGTGCCGAAGGCAACTCTCGTGTTAAATGACGGGTGCCGAAGGCAGCGCTCTCGTCGGATGATGACGGGGGGCCGGAGGCATCGCACTAGCCGCATCCTGAC